TTTGGGGTTTACCCCCCCCCCCCCCCCCCCCATATCCTGAGAAACTAGATCAATGGTAACCATTTGGCCCATCATAACTCACTTTTAACTTTCGAAACCGTTTTTTTTTTTTGACTAACTCACCCTGTGCTGAGGGTCTCTGAATCTTTTTACAGGTCTTCTCTAGCCTGCTCACACTTTCACTTCAGTTCCTCTGAACTGCTTTCTATGGCTGTGGGTATATGGGGTCTTTTTTTCTGCTTATCTCTCTATTATCCCTAAAGTTTTTCTCCCTTTGTACTCGACCCTCACACATTGGGCGCCATGTTGTATTTTTATACTGCCTCATTATCTAAACACTCTAACACACATCTCTACAATCCCAAATAGCCAGTTCCAAATCAAAGGATTTGTCCTTCAGATTTGGTATGTGGTCAGCTGTCTAGAAACCCTGTGCAGTGTCCTTCCAGCATCAATCAGGTCCGGTCCTCTTGAGGCTCGTCTGAGATAAGTATTTAGGTTCAGATAATAGTGTTATGAATAAAATAATTTACTTGAGATTTTGTTTAAGAGAGGTTTAAACGCATCACCATTTGAAATGGTTTCGCTTTAATAAACCAATTCAGAATAAGAAATCAACACAACATAGATGTCTTCACCCCGAGGTGTGGTGCCGTTCTGTTCCAAGTTTTTCAATATATACTGTAGTTCTGCCTTGGCTACACAGTATTGCTTCACAACAAAGAATTTCCATATATGAACATACAAAACGAGATTAACACACACCCACTAAGTTTTAACTCTGCAGCAAGCTCTTGGTTACTTAAACACAGGATATATGCAGGTTGCAATCGCAAAGGCTTTCATTTTGCAAATGCAACACCTAACTACTTGCAAAGCGAGACACATTGGTCAGGGGAGTGCACCATATTTATTGGGTCCACTGACCCAACAACTAACATAGGATTTGTTTTAATATTCCACTTCAGCCTATGTTTAGTTGTATTCGTTAATAACAGCAATAGTCTACACCTCAAAATAGTTTTTCTTATGCGATTAGTTACACAATCAAAAGTTAAGTCCAACAATTGAAAGGATTTGAAATAATAATAATAGAGATTTAAGCATGCTTTATAATAGAAATACATTTATCTTAAAAATAACTTTCACTGAAAAATGCTGAGATGCTGCTTTTAAATGACGAGTCAGATGACAGACCTTGACAGAAGCTCCAACCTTTCAATCTTTCCGGTGACATCTAGAAAAGAAATATTACTGGGTGTTCAGCCTGATTTTAAAGTAGGTCTTAATATTTAGTTATTTTATTCTCTCTTACCCATCAGAGTGGTTCTGCTGGTTTGTGAAAGTGAGCGTTCCACTGATCCCTTTAGCTCAGATTCAAGGGTCTTGCATATATGATCCTTGTGAAAGAAACAACAGAAAACACATAGTCAAGGTATAGAAAAAGAAGAGCGTTTTTTGTGTTGCTCGTAAGTATCTTCAGAAAGAAGCAGCAAATATGTTTAAACAATATTGAGAAATACCTTTAAATCCTTGAACTGATTCAGAACTTCCATTTTTGCATCTTTGAACATGCTGGCTTTTAACAATTCAATTGTTTCCGTTATTTTATCCTCCCTCTTCTCCATTGCTTTTACTCCTTTCAACTTTGCAGCTTCTGTAATAGGTAACATTTAATATTCTGTTAATATTTAATATTCTTTAACACAGGCAATACAAACATAGAACGTCTCTGAGAGAAAACCTGTAATTAGTTATATAAGGACAAAAATGTGGTTTCATCTGTGGTCTTAAAACGAACAGGTTTGTGCAACCTCAGGTAGGCAACCGTTAAACTGAAAAAAGCTTCCTTACGCTCATAGCCAGCAGTCATTCGATTCTGAATTGTTTTTTGGATTGACGAGTAGATTTCCTTCTTTCTCGCAACAACTTCTCTTTTGAGCAATGCCTTCACTTTGGTTTCCTTATCAGGAGGTTAACACAGATAATTATTCATATACATATTATTATTATTATGTACTAAATATATCAGTAAGTATAAATGCCATGGTCATTGTTGTTGAAATTAAAATAATTCACACTAAGCATAAAACGGTATCCCATTTTAGTAGGAAAAAACAACAGATAGAGAACTGGAAATAGAACTACAAGGACTGGCAACACAGCAGACCCAGTCACATCTCACTCTTTTAGAGGAAATAGAGCTTTTCTGCTTTCAGAAGGCCTTTGCATTTTGACACTTGAAACTTGACAATGATATGTTTTGAGACAATGAAAAAGATTTATAAAGATAACAAATGCTGTTGCTTGCACATTAGTAATCATTCATTGGAATAGAGTTACCTGTAGATAGATAGGTATAAATGAAAGTAAGCATAAAATAAAAGACAACTATAGTAAAGACAACTCGCCTCTGTTTTGATGAAGTTTTCCATGTGGTATAGCATGGAAGATGGCGAGTAAGCAGTGCCACTTTGGATGATACTGAATTCATCAATCTGTTCCTGCACTGATTTTCCGGTTTTGTTATTGCCATCAACACTGTAGTAATGAAGAAAAAAAGAATTTAAATAACACAAGACCAAATGGGTACTAATAGGCCATCCTAGACCAGCGGTTCTCAATTCCAATCCTTGCACCCACCTTATATACAGTATATATATATACAAGGGATGTAACAGATATTATCAATATCGTGATATCACGTTAGCAAAACCGTCTCGATATTACCGTGGTCACATGATGATATAAAACGATAGGTCTTCTAAAATCTAAAATATTTTTTTACTTATTATTCTAACATAAAAGGTCTTTGAAGTTGTGTTTTGGGCCATTGTGCTTTGGCACAGTATCTTCAAATGAACTAAAACCGAAAGCACAATATGGCTTAATCTCTTAAATTCTGTTTTCGCTGCGCACTTCGGCTTAGTTCACAGTGAATGAATGCAGTGAACTCGTTTATTTCATGTGCTGTGAGTTTAGCATGCATCTGGGAATGCAACAGCCACCAGTTAGGCTTTATTTTCACAGCAGATAACTTGTAGTGAGATGCATTTTGTAAGACGGTTTTCACTGAAGCTGGAGTTTTCTTTCAAAATAAAAGCTTTAAAGTGCAGTATGAATTGCTGACAGCTAGTGGTTTAAATACAGTCCAAATTCAAAATATCTCTTTCAAGTGTAGAAATTAGGAAAGAAGTATTGTAATGTCCCTACTGTAGTATAAAGCGCAAAAAAAAGGAAATATGAATTTTTATTTATTTTACATTGCAACTGTTTTACAATATATGTCTATTACTGTCATTTTTGTCATTATTATTACTATATTCTAATTTGTTTGGCATCCTAAAACACCAGTGTGAATGTAATTTAGACTGAGACAGTTTATCACAAATAAAAAGAGGGTCGAGTCCTCAGGTGCTTTACTTACTTTTTTCTGACTTAAGTTTTCTTAGTTAAGAACATGGGTTGGAGCTCTTATCAAAGTGCATTAGATAGAATAACTTAACTTTAAAATGTACAAAATGTAAATTTTTTCCAATTCTTCATTTGCCTTTTTTTTTATTTTAAATATTGATTTAAATATTGCAATATCGTATCATGGACTTCGTATCGCGATATTATCATATTGTGAGATTTTGATATCGTTACATCCTTATATACAGTATATATATATATATATATATATACCATCCTAGACCAGCGGTTCTCAATTCCAATCCTTGCACCCACCTTATATACAGTATATATATATACAAGGGATGTAACAGATATTATCAATATCGTGATATCACGTTAGCAAAACCGTCTCGATATTACCGTGGTCACATGATGATATAAAACGATAGGTCTTCTAAAATCTAAAATATTTTTTTACTTATTATTCTAACATAAAAGGTCTTTGAAGTTGTGTTTTGGGCCATTGTGCTTTGGCACAGTATCTTCAAATGAACTAAAACCGAAAGCACAATATGGCTTAATCTCTTAAATTCTGTTTTCGCTGCGCACTTCGGCTTAGTTCACAGTGAATGAATGCAGTGAACTCGTTTATTTCATGTGCTGTGAGTTTAGCATGCATCTGGGAATGCAACAGCCACCAGTTAGGCTTTATTTTCACAGCAGATAACTTGTAGTGAGATGCATTTTGTAAGACGGTTTTCACTGAAGCTGGAGTTTTCTTTCAAAATAAAAGCTTTAAAGTGCAGTATGAATTGCTGACAGCTAGTGGTTTAAATACAGTCCAAATTCAAAATATCTCTTTCAAGTGTAGAAATTAGGAAAGAAGTATTGTAATGTCCCTACTGTAGTATAAAGCGCAAAAAAAAGGAAATATGAATTTTTATTTATTTTACATTGCAACTGTTTTACAATATATGTCTATTACTGTCATTTTTGTCATTATTATTACTATATTCTAATTTGTTTGGCATCCTAAAACACCAGTGTGAATGTAATTTAGACTGAGACAGTATATCACAAATAAAAAGAGGGTCGAGTCCTCAGGTGCTTTACTTACTTTTTTCTGACTTAAGTTTTCTTAGTTAAGAACATGGGTTGGAGCTCTTATCAAAGTGCATTAGATAGAATAACTTAACTTTAAAATGTACAAAATGTAAATTTTTTCCAATTCTTCATTTGCCTTTTTTTTTATTTTAAATATTGATTTAAATATTGCAATATCGTATCATGGACTTCGTATCGCGATATTATCATATTGTGAGATTTTGATATCGTTACATCCTTATATACAGTATATATATATATATATATATACACATACACACACACTATATATATTATATATACTATATATATATATAGTGTGTGTGTGTGTGAGACCCTGGACCACAAAACCAGTCATAAGGGTCAATTTTTTTGAAATTGAGATTTATTCATCTGAGGGTGCAAAAAATTAAAATATTGAGAAAATTGCCCTTTAAAGTTGTCCAAATTAAGTTCTTAGCGATGCATATTACTAATCAAAAAATTAGATTTTGATATATTTACGGTAGGAAATTTACAGAATATCTTAATGTAACATGAACTTTACTTAATATCCTAATGAATTTTGGCATAAAAGAAAAATCGATAATTTTGACCCATACGATGTATTGTTGGCTATTGCTACAAATATCCCCCAGCGACCGCTTTTGTGCTCCAGGGTCACATATATACCACTAGCTGATGTGCTTATATATTTCAATACACTGCTCATCTAACACTCTAAATTGTTTTATTTTTATCAACTGAAGGTATAGTGGATAGGGAATGACAGCAGAACACATACGGAAAAATTAAATTAAAATTCTCATCGATGTTGTCGTGCATGTGTGTGGCCAAGCACATGTTTAGATCTAGGGGTCCATCCCAGTTCTTTGGCCAATAGTATCCCTTGTTCTTGTACAATGCTTGAAGGGTTTTATGGAATCCCCTTTTATCTACAGGTGCAACCTGATTCAGAAAGCACAAATATCACTGCGGTTAGAAAGCCCACAAAATGGCTTTTCAAACATTTCAACATTTCACATACAACAGGATCACACTTACAGATGCAATCATGGAGTTTTTGGTGTCAACACACAGTTCCACTGATTCCTTCACTCCTTTTGAGAGACATTGATCCAAAATCATATAAAGTAAATCAAACTGACAATCCAACTCCTTCAGTGCCTTTTCTAGGTTCTTCTGCAAAGCTTTATGGACTTCAGCTTTTTCCTCCACCTAAAACACAAAGCAATGTAGCAGTAAATTTCTCAATAAACCTATTGGCTGATTTTTAGAAGACAAGTGAATTATCAGTAATTCTGACCATTTTTTCATCTGTATCTAGTTGGACACTTTGAATGAAGGATAAAACTCCCTTTGCTTCATTGACATAATCTCTGGTCAGTTCTCGGTTAATTCTCTTGTTAATGTTCTTCAGAACATCCTGCAGCTTTGGAATTTCTACAGATTATTGGCAAAATGTCAATATTTAAATGAGCAGGAGTAATAATGGTGCGTTCAAGTCATGTCGGATGGATCGTATTTACGAGTTGAACGCACATGAACGCCACCACAAAGTCGTTATTACGAGTAGGAAACTCTAAATTTAAAGGGTCATATGATGCTTTTTTAAAGATCATTATTTTGTGTATTTGGTGTAACAGAATATATTGACATGCTTTAATGTTCAAAAAACACGTTATTTTTCAAATACTGTACATTATTGTAGGTCCTCAATGCCCCGCCTCTCTCAAACGCTTCGTTTTCTACAAAGTCCCTCCTTCCGACAAGCGCAGTCTGCTCTGATTGGCCAGCTGATCCAGTGCATTGTGATTGGCCGAACACCGCAAGCACGCGTCGGAAATGTAACGCCCCTTACCATATTAGCGAGCTTCATCTTTCAAAATAAATGCAAAGACAGAGCCCGGAAGGGGAACACCTCCTCTCCTAGGTTCACGAAACGGTCGTCCATAAAATGCATTGCTGTTCTGTTGCGTGAACATTTGGGCGGCATTATGCTAATATTTCCACATAGTGAGGTAGATATGTGGGGGCGTGTTAGAACGAGCCGTTTTAGGGGGGCATGGCAGAGTCTTAACTTTTATAAAGAATATCTCTTTGGTTTTGAGACTTTAGTCTTTGCAACTTCAGGGATCTTATCTATGCACAATCAGCTTGTAACACTCCAAAGAGAAAGGAAAACTTGAAATCGCATCATATGACCCCTTTAAACCCAGAGTTTCCGAGTTGGGGGCGTCAATGAGAAACATGGCAGAATCGATGGATGCTACGTCTGTAGTTGACGGTAAATTTTAGTTTAAATTGATCGTTTAGTTGTCCTATAAACTTAAATTGGTTATGTTCTTGTTACGCAGCTGAAATCCATGTAAAAAAAAATGCAGACCCTGTTGTATTTTCTTGTAATTTATTAAAAGAAGGTACACTGCCATCTTGTGCCGACTAAACTGACTTGAATTGCCCTGACGTCATTATTACGACTTGTCAACTCGTAAGTACGAACGTCCCAGGAGGACTTGAACGCAGCATCAGACACATAAACTTTTCAAAACAAAATTTCACTTGATTACCTGTTTCAGCAGGTTCCAGATGTGGATCTTTATCTAAGTATGCCCTGGAGCTGACAGTGAAAACATCAGTAATGAATCTGGCTTTTGATTTCTGAATAAGAATAAGAATATGAATAAGCATAAGAATATGAATAAGCATAAGAATAAGAATAATGTTTGAGTTCACATATATATACCATGATTTCAAGATTTTCAAACTTCTTTTTCACAATTGCCTTTGCACGGTTGTTCCTATGAATTATGCACCCTGTTTTAGGGTTCTGGAAAAAAAGGGGGGGGGGGGGGGGGTGATACAAATCAGATGAAGTACCTATAAGTGATATTTGATTCAGTGGATGATTATTATATGAGCAAGATTATTACATGTGTATTAGGCAGTAAGTCAGATCAGGCATGTCTATATTTTTTAGAGCAATCCATTGTTAATTATTAGAAAAACTTCTAGCCTTTTAAAGCACATTGAAATTAACTTAAAGGCTGCATATTTTATTCAGCAGGATTTAGATTTTTTTTTTTAAATAAGTGGCAGACAGCAAATGCCTCACTGAAGTTTTAGAAGACTGCATTAGAATAATACAGAAAAAAAAAAAATCACATATTTGCTTGTAAATTTACCAAACCTTGTCTAAAGAAATTTGGTCTCCAGAGTGGCGTAAAGATCTAAAATAAATAGATAAAATACATTAAATAATTTCAAAAAAGTAAAAACAATACTTAGAATATGTTCATATTTTAGCATGTTGTAAGAAATGCGGATTATTGACAAGGATCTCTTTATTCTAACCTTAGATATTCTTTCGGATCAATGTCATCAGTTCTGGTACAGATGAAGTCGATGTTTCTGCACTCTCCTCCTGGTCCCAGGTCTTGAATGCAGTGCTGTATTATACCCCAGGGGTCTCTGTCATCAATAGCTCGATTGATGTTACTTACAATCCACACAGAAGAGCACTCTCTCAGTTTCTATGGAATTAGAAAGATAAAAACGGAGTAAAATATACCTGGCAAACCTGTAGTATTGCTTTAAACTGCACATTTGCTTATGTTGAATTTTATATGTATTCCACTGTTAAAGAAATTCTTCACCCAAATATGAAAATTTTGCCATCCAATACCATCATCCTCATGACTCAACAGAATAATTGGTTTATTATGTGAATGCCACAAGCCAAGGTGAGCTAAGGCAGTTTTTTTTGTACATAATGACAAAGTTGCCATATGGCTTCAGAAGATTTATAATATAGTGCCTTTTGAGACATATTTATGATACTTTTACTGTATGCTTTTAAGGTTTCAGTCCTCATTCATTACAACTGCATGAAAAAGAGCAGTCAGTACAGTTATTCTTTAAACTCCTACTTTTGTATTTGACTGAAGAAAGAAACTCGTACTGGTTTGTGATTACATGAGTGAGTAAACCATGACAGAATTTTCATATTTGTAGTTTTTTTTTTTTTTTTTCATATTTCATAGTTTTTAAAGAGTGCAGCGTTTACCGTTTTCCACAGGTCATCTCTAATTTTGTTGCAGTCTCCAGTCCCAGGAAGATCAACAAGCACAATGTGTTCCAGGAGTTCACCACAGTTTGGTATCTTGATTGTCACACTTTTCACAAGAGGCCAGTACCATTCACTGTGTTGTATGTAACGTGCAACAGCACTGGTAAATTCCTGGGAGACCTGTTCAAGTAAATAACACTAAATAACAGAAAGTCAGAAAACATATTTATATTGATCATATTTGGGCATTTTTTAAATTTATATATGAAAATAGGGCAGGCTGGGGCTAGGTATCAGCAGTGTTAAAAGGTTTTTAAAACTCCAATCAAACAAACGTGCGTCTTCTATAATGGCAGTTTTACATTGCTATAAAACATCTAAATCATATCTCTTAAATGTGATTAATCCTTGTGAATGTTGTCCTCCACACGGTATTATCATATGTTTACTACAGCTGTAGTATTAACAAGTGAACAGAATACATTCAGAGCAGAGCGTACTATATAATAAAGACAGACTTTAACCAAAAACCTGTTTTTGTCTTGTCTGGAAGGTGTCAGTTTTTTGGGGGGAAATATTTTCACATTGGGAAGTGTATTTATACATAAAAAACTAAATACATTATTAAAAAAGGTGTATATATTTTAGTTGGGTTCTGGTTAGTTATTTGCTAAAACAATGGTTTGTAATTTTTTTTATTTATGATACAGCTTACATTTTTGCCCATTTATGAATTGGTTTTTCATAAGTTTTGAAATTTTGCACAAAAAGTATATACCGTATTGACCCGAATATAAGACGATGTTTTTTTCTTGGAAATACATCTGAAAAAACGCGGTCGTCTTATATTCAGGGTCTAGACTTTGACATGTCAATAATACACCCACAACAATAGGTGGCGCCAAATACCCATAAAACCAGTGTGCCGTGAAATACGTAATGTAATGCGTGTTGTAAAGATCTCGAGTAAAAACAAAAGAGAAAGAAAAGCTTACAGCTGCATGAGTCGTGACTGTCACGTTAGCCTGATGGGACCAAACTCTCTTTGTGATTTTAAAACGTAAGACAGTACCCAGATTTGAAGACTACAGTAAGATTTAACTTCTACTGTTAATAAGATTTCGGTAGGCTACTATTAGATGGATAGCCTAAATGTCCTAATTCAGATGGGCTACCTGTTTTTTTATGGTATATCAAATTTAAATGTGATTGTTGGTACAATTTACCAGTTTTTACCATACTTTCAAAACAAAAATTAAAATAGGAAAAATATGCGATATGAAAATAATTGAAGACAAAATGTGTTTTACTGAGAAAAAACAAGATTTGGTTTTTAAAAAGCCTTTTTCCAAAAGGTACAACTGGAAAAACGGGGGTCGTCTTATAGTCAGGGTCGTCTTATATTCGGGCCAATACGGTAATAGGGTTCCATTCCCCTCATACCTACCTCTATAGTATTATAAAAGGCTTAGTTATAACTGTACGTTTTTTTCTTGGACAATATTGGTGTAAATGTTCACTAGGTTGATTTTTTTCCTTATAGCCATGACTTCAAGCTAAGTGCCTATGTACCTAACCTGCTAAATTAAATCTAACCTGAGAAATATTTAGTGGACTAAAAGTCTGACCAGGTGCCATATGTCTACTCCATATATATTCAGCCCTTACTTCAGTGTGTGAAATAGTTTTTATCGTGGTAGACAAAAAGTTATCAATTTCGGCATATTTGTCATCTTTCTTTAGTTCTTCCAGTGTTTTCTTATCTGCATCAGCTCCATACAGTGCAGTGATTCTTTCTATGACAGTTTCGGTCCTGTTGTCAGTTGAAGTAATCTCATTTTCCCATTCCTGCAAAACAAACAAAAGACTTTATTTCCTTCACAATGTGTTTATATATATACATACTAGGGGTGTAGCGGTTCGGTATGTTTTTGATACGGGGGGTTATTGTAATTGCTTCCTGCAAGAAGGCAAGCCAATGGATATCACATAAGCAATGTGCAAACTTTGCGCAAGAGTTATGCAGGTGAACGTCTTAATCTCAGTCAGTTCACTACAGGTGCATCTCAATAAATTAGAATGTCATGGAAAAGTTCATTTATTTCAGTAATTCAACTCAAATTGTGAAACTCGTGTATTAAATAAATTCAATGCAAACAGACTGAAGTAGTTTAAGTCTTTGGTTCTTTTAATTGTGATGATTTTGGCTCACATTTAACAAAAACCCACCAATTCACTATCTCAACAAATTAGAATATGGTGACATGCCAATCAGCTAATCAACTCAAAACACCTGCAAAGGTTTCCTGAGCCTTCAAAATGGTCTCTCAGTTTGGTTCACTA